ACAAGCATTCATACTTCATCTACAAAATTGGATAGGTTAGGTTCAACCATCATTTCATGTGTTACTAGCTGATTCGTTTGAGTCAAGACCATTTGGAGATTCAAAAGTAAATATTTGCACGGTTGAAGTAGCGGATGAAGTTGCAAACATCATTTCATAGTGGTTGGAAAACTTTATTTATTATTTTAATTTCATAAAGTTTGTAATGCTCAAATTGACTTCGTCTTCTGTGGAGATTTAAAGGGATCGAGATTAAATCACGGGCACTAACTTTTTTGTGGGGAGACTATAAATACCCACAAATTATTATGTAAAAGCATATTTGTGATCAATGAAATTGATCTCTCAAGTTGAGAGGTTCCCCCTTATAGAAATTTGAGCATATCTTTATCGTTTTTAAGTTTCATGCAATTCTTGTGGTAGACTGCATCTGAGTTATTTAATCAAGCCTTGATCGAGTTTGAATGTGGAGTGACTCAATTTAGAAAAAGATTTCAAATCTTTCTTCTCACTCTTGGATCTCGTAATCTAATTCTAACTTTATCTCTTGGTTTATCCAAATTTTGTATAAGAAGGTGTTAATTTCTTTAATTAAAGGTTCTTGCTTCTACAAAAGCTTGGCTTGTTGGGCTAAAGATTACGGTTGGTCTATATCCTTCAATGGGATCTTCTATCCTCATGACTGCTCTGTTGCAGTCGTTCTTCTAACTCCGACAACACGTCCAGTTGTCGAGGTTGGTAATGTGATTTTGTAACCCATCCATTGAGGTTCTTGGAATGATTCTATAGCTTATCATTTCCATGTTGGGAGTTGGATCAGGGGTCTTGGGCGAAGGAATCCTTGGTTTACCGCCCCTTCGAGTTGAAGGAAGTGTCAAAAGGCTATTTTTTTTTCAATTTTATTGATTTGTTTGAGTGATTTTATTTGATTTTATTTCAATTTGTCAAACTCACTCGGGTGCTCATCTCAATCATTTCAGCCTTGTTGGCGTTCAATAAGAGAGACCTTGGAAATAACTGGTAACTGTTCAACTGGATTATCACATTAACAATTTGAATCAAATAAAGTGACATTAACCATTTGAATCACCTCAACCCCACTTGTTGAACTTGACCAAATGTCTATAACATAGCACTAACAAACGTACAAAGTAATACAAACAAAGGTACAAAGTAACACTAACAAAGGTACAAAGTTCATAAAAGTTCTTTTAATCTAAAATACCATTGAACTTGACCATTATAGTGCCTCTCAAACGTAGGTAAAGTTTAAATTCGGGTCTCCTTGTCGAACTCACTCGGGTGCTCATCTCAACCATTATGGCGTTCAACAAGGGAGACCTCAAAAATAGCCGGATTATCGCATTAACCATTTGAATCACCTCAACCCCACTTGTTGAAATTGAAACAAATATCTATAACAAAACACTAACATAGGTACGATGTTCATAAAAGTTTTTTAATCTAAAGATACTATTGAACTTGACTATTAAAGTGCCTCTCAAACTTAGGTAAAGTTTAAATATAATTGGTGACAAAAGATGAAACTATAAAATAAAAAGAAATAAGAAAATAATATTCCATTTTAGAGAATCAAACCAGAATCTCCTATGTGAAAGCCAAATATCCAAACCGACAATAATGAATTTTAAGTGTAGTTGTCTTGGAGTCTTTTGTCTAATTGCTAAAGAGTTTTACTATGATGTTTTGGGTAATGTCTAACTCTTCGACACGTCCTTTCATGTGTGTGATAGAATTCTCAGAGTTACCGAGACGTTTCGAGTTGTTCTATCGTGTGGCTCTTTCTTCAAAAGGGTCAACATCAAACATCGGGTCTTTGATTGGCAACCCATCCAGAGGAGCATCGATTGCATCGATTTCATCAACAGTCTTCCTATGAGTTTATGGTGCATGACCCTTTTTTTTACCATTCACCTTCGAGCGCCACCATAGTTTTGCATCGTCCATGAGATGCATTGCGACCAACGTAACTCTTAGGTCCTATTAGCAAGTTCCAGTAACCTTTAAGTATTGTTCTACGTCAAAAATAAAGCTTTTTAATTCCTTAGCATCCCGGTTTCCATTTAAGGGGTTGTGTTCTTGGATTTTAAGCTTGTTAAGCCCACATGAACTTGGCTTGAGGTGTGGTTCTCTATAGCCCAACTTGTCAAACTCACTCGGGTGCTCATCTCAACCATGATGTAGTTCAACAAGAGAGACCTCGAAAACGACTGGATTATCGCATTAACCATTTGAATCACGTGCTCATCTCAACCATGATGTCATTCAACAAGAGAGACCTCGAAAACGACTGGATTATCGCATTAATCATTTGAATCACCTCAACCCCTGTTATTGAAATTGAACCAAATATCTATAACATAACTCTAACAAAGATACCAAGTTCATAAAAGTCTTTTTAATCTAAGATAGAAACGGTAAAATAAAATGAAATAAGAAAACAATATTCCATCGTCGAGAATCGAACCCAGGTTTGCTCGGTAAAAGTCAGATATCATAATCGCTAAACGACAATGAATTTTTGGTGTAGATGTCCTGAAGTCTATTGTCAGATCGCTGAAGAGTTTTAGCATGATCTAATGCTTAATGTCTAACTCTTCGACACTTCATTCCCTGTGTGTTAGAGTTCTCAGAGCTACCGAGATGTTTCGAGCTGTTCAATTATGTTGCTCTTTCTTCAAAAGAGTCAACATCAAACGTTATATGGTGCATGACCCTTTTTTATACCATTCACTTTCGAGCACTATCATAGTTTTGCATCGTCCATGAGATGCACTGCGGCTAACGTAACTCTCAGGTCGTATGAGAAAGTTCTTGTAGCCCTCAACTCTCGGGTCGTATGGTAGAGTTCTTAAAGCTACCGCGACATTTCGAAGTGCTCGATCGTGGGGCTTTTTCTTCAAAAGAGTCAACATCAAACGTTAGGTCTTTAATTGGAAACCCATCCAGGGGAGCGTCGATTGCATCGATTCCATCAATGGTCTTTCCATGAGTTTTTGGTGCATGACCCATTTTGTATATCATCTAAGATACTATTTTACTTATCATTATAGTGACTCTCAAACCAAGTTCATAAGAGTCTTTTGAATTTAAGATACTATTGAACTCATCCATTATAGTGCTTCTCAAACCTAGGTAAAGTTTAAATATGAAACTATAAAATAAAAGAAATAAGAAAAATAAAATTTCATTGTCGAGAATCAAACTCGGGTCTCCTCGATGAAAGCCAGATCTTATGTATAATGTCTAACTCTTTGACACATTTTTTTATGTGTGTGATAGAGTTCTCAGAGCTACTGCCACGTTTCTTGTTCTTCGATCGTGTGACTCTTTCTTCAAAAGAGTCAACATCAAACATTAGGTCTTTGATTGGAAACCCATCCAGGGGAGCGTCGATTGCTTCAATTCCATCAATGGTCTTCCCATGATTTTTTGGTGCATGACTAGTTTTTTATACAATTCACCTTCGAGCGCCACCATAGTTTTGCATCGTTCATGAGATGCATTGTGGGCCAACATAACTCTCAAGTCCTCTGAGTAAGTTCCTATAGTCTTGAAATATAATATCAAAATATATTAACATATTTGATATGTTAAATATTAAAATAATTGATGTGTATCATAAACATTAAATAAAAATATATATTTAAAATTTGAATGAGATTCATATTAATTAAACATATATTATGATATTCTACGAAATTTTAATATTATTTAAATAAGATATTATATCTTAATGTATTAGGTATTCAAATATATAATTTGACAAAAATTATCACAAGTTCACCATAAATAGAACCCTAGGGTTAAGTCAAAAAGCATCAACTACTAAATACTTTAAAATTTTAGGTGATATTTTGCAGAGGACGCTGATAAGGTCTTTAAAGAGCATGTGGTCATGTCTGACGTTTTAGGTTAACACCATGTTGAAAAGAAACCAGAAATTCTGATACCGGTAATTAACTACAAACCTTTGAATAAGGTTTTAGAATAAATAAGATATTCAATCAAAAAAAAAAATGAGTTGATAAAAAGAATTTATAGTCAAATGTTTTTATAAAATTCGATATGAAATTGGGATTTCAAAAAATTCTAATTTCCTAAAAGGACAAATATAAAATAGCATTTAATGTCACCTTTAGAAAATATAAGAGGAACGTCATGCAATTTAGGCTAAAAACCACTCCATCCGAATTTCAGATGATTATGAATGACATTTTCAATCCTTTCAAAAAATTTCATTAGTTTATAATGATGATGTGTTGATATTTTCTAAAACCATTAAGATCAACACTTTAAACATCTACCTACATTCATTAATGTAATCAAAAGAAATCAGCTAGTTGTGTCCATACCCAAAATCAAATAATATCAAACTCAGATCCGTTTTCTTAGATTCTAAATTTATTTGAGCCTTATAAAACCCATCCAATGGTCCATTGAGTTTGTCTCAAACTTTCGTGATTAGGTATCCTAGAAAAGCCAACTTCAAAAAAAAATTAGGTTCTCTCAATTATGTGTCTTAAGTCCTTCAAGATATCAGGCACGTTCACAAATGTCTTAATGAGTGTCTTGAAAATAATAAAAAGTTTTGATTTGTAAAAGATATCTCTACAACCCAAAAAAATCAAATCATTAGTCAAATAAATTCTCTGCTTAAGTCTTATTGACCCAAGGGCAGATCTCACAGTGAAACGTGACGCATCAAATATTCGAGGTATCTAAAATTGTCAAAGAGGACAGGGAATCAATTATCATATTTCATTCAAAAGCCTCTAATAATACCATGCAAATTACAAAAAAAGTAAAAAAAATATATATATATATTATTTCCATTGTATTTTGTGCACAAAAATTTTAAAGGAAATTTAAAATAAATCCAGCTTATTTGTCATACTTTTAAGTTCAACTACAATAAATCAAGAAAAGAATTGAGTGGTAATAAAATATCACTTGACATTGGAATGTAATTTGAAGACATTTTATCTTCTGGAGTTGAATTACATTTAAAATTATTTATGTTATTTCTTATTTTCTTCAATTTGTATTTAATAGCTTTGGGTAGTTTGTAGATGAGCTATGTTTGAATTATCTTTTTGGCCTATTTAAATGCTGGTAATATTCAAGTTTGAAAACATTTTGGAATACAAAAACTTTGTGTTTGAAACCATTTGGTGTTATGTTTCTTTCAAACCTTGTTTTAGGTTTGGTGTTAAAATCTATTCATTAGATTAGTCGTGATCAAGTTAATTCTTGAGTGAGTCGTCTTGGAATCTAAGAGTGACAATCATAGATTCAAAGTTCAATCTAAGAGTTATTTATCCTTTTTACCTTCTCCTGGTTGAAATCAATTCGTTAAGTTAGCTTTCTTTGTAAAAGTTTGCAAGGATACTACGACCTCTAGCTTTGCAAAATCTAGCGTTATTGGCACTTATCAAAATCGCTGCCAAAATAAAGTTTAACAAGTGGTTCTATGTTGTAGTGGTTAGCACTTTCGACTTTGCATCTAACGATCTGTGTTTAATTTCTGATAGGTAATCCACCAATTTATACAAAATTGGTCCATAGCCAATTCGGTAGGGTCACTTTTGGACCGATAATCTAAATAAGGGGTCACTAATGTTAAGATCATACAAAATGGGTCCATAGCTCAATATTAGAGCATTTGATTGCAGATCAAGAGGTCACCAATTAGAACCTAGTTGGGCCCTACTATTTTGGATAGAAATTTGTTACACTTTTTGGACCGACACTATGTCTAAGGGGTCACTCAGGTTAAAATCCTACAAAATGGATCCATGGCTCAATGGTAGAGAATTTAACCGGTCACCCATTTGAACTTGGTTGGGCATTTCTATTTTTGACAGACACTTTTTACACTTTTGGACTGACACTTGGTAGAAGGGGCCACTAAGGCTAAAATCATGTAAAATGGGTTCATAGCTCAGTGGTAGAGTATTTGATTGCAGATTAAGAGGTCACGAGTTTGAATTTGGTTGGGCCCTTTTATCTTGGATAGACACTTTGTTCGATTTGCTCCTTTTATTTTGGATAGACACTTTGTTCGATTTACTCCCAACCACCGAGTGTCTAAAGGAAAAGAAATAAGAATAATTATCGATTCCAAACCTTATTCCAAAGTCCACCACATAGAACCTAAGGGCCTTGGACAAGAACCAAGCTATCATTAAGAAAAGAGTGTGGTATACCAAGCACCCACTATGAACATGGCTAAAAACTTACAATTAGGCTAGTGAAATAAGAATAATTACCGATTCCAAACCTTATTCCAAAGTCCTCCACCATTTAGAACCTAAGGGCCACTATTCTCGGACAAAATATAAGTTGCATTCTTATATTGACAAAGCCACTAGTACAAAAAATATTCATGAACTTTCAAAACTAATGCCCTTAACATTCTAAAATAAGGTTCTAACTATTAGTGAGTTGCATAAATAATCTCCCTTTTTATTTTCACTCACTCCTCTTCTTCAACCTATGACCCATTAATATCATTAATATTTCATCTCCTTGTTTTTTAGCTTTTTAAATACCCTTATTTCACTCCTAAATCTATAAAATGTCTCCTATTTTTATTCATTTTCTCTTTTCTTAAATATCAAAATCTTAAATAAAAAGGAAAAGCTCTCTAAAATATTCTTATTTGTCACTAATTTTACATAATTTAACATTTTAAAAATCGGTAAATTAAAAAAATCCTACATTAACATATTCATAATTTCATGTAGTCTTTCATAAGTTTGCAGGCGACATTGTTTGTTGTCGAGCTTGATAATGTGAGTTTGTAACCCATCCGTTAGGGTTCTTGGAATGATTCTCTAGATTATCCCTTCCATGTTGGGAGTTGGGCCATAAGTCTTGGGTGAAGGAAACGTTGGTTTACCGCCCCTAAGAGTTAAGGAAGCATTTGAAAGCTAGTTTCACATTGTATCATTATCTCTGAGATAACAGTTCTTTTCTATTTTATCTAAATTTTTTAAATATGAGTTCATTTCCAAATGCATGCTAACACCCTTATTGTTGAATAAATGACATGAAAATAGTTTCACTTAGTAACGTTGCCTTTTGCTCCTATTGGTGGAAGGATAATAGGTCGATTATACCTTTATGGTAGTTTTAAGCGTGACAACATTTGACAACCAGACTAATTTTGCTTCATTTCTAGATGAACACGTGTAAATTGTAAACTCAAACATTTCAAAGAAATAAACAAGTTTTGATGGTACCATGCTAACGAGAAAACAAATGTTGACTTTGACCAATCCCTATTATCTTTTTTTTTTCTTTATTTTGAAACTATTTTAAGCACTTTTCTCTTGTACTCAGAGGGAAGTTGTGTAAAAGCAACGGGAAGAATTGCTCACATACCAGTAAGCGAGGCTTATTTAGGTCGTGTTATAAACGCCTTGGCTAAACCTATTGATGGCCGAGGTGAAATTTCAGCTTCTGACTCTCGGTTAATTGAATCCCCCGCTCCTAGTATTATTTCGAGACGTTCCGTATATTAGCCTCTTCAAACAGGACTTATTGCTATTGATGCAATGATTCCTATCGATCGTGGTCAGCAAGAATTAATTATTGGGGACAGGCAGACCCGTAAAACTGCAGTAGCCACGGATATGATTCTGAATCAACAAGGGCAAAATGTAATATGTGTTTATGTAGCTATTGGTCAAAAAGCCTCTTCTGTGGCTAAGTAGTTACTACTTTACAGGAAAGGGGGGGGCAATGGAATACACTATTATAGTATGCTAAATGGCTGATTCTCTACCTACATTACAATACCTTGCTCCTTATACAGGAGCAGCTTTGGCTGAATATTTTATGTACAGAAAACAACACACTTTAATCATTTATGATGATCCCTCCAAACAAGCACAAGCTTATCGACAAATGTCTCTTCTTTTACGAAGACCGCTCGGCCGCGAAGCTTATCCGGGAGATGTTTTTTATTTGAATTCACGCCTTTTGGAAAGAGCCGCTAAATCAAGTTCTGCTTTAGGTGAAGGAAGTATGACTGCTTTACCAATAGTTGAGACCCAATCGGGAGATGTTTCAGCTTATATTCCTACTAATGTAATTTCCATTACCGATGGACAAATATTCTTATCTGCGGATCTATTCAATGCTGGAATCAGACCTGCTATTAATGTGGGTATTTCCGTCTCCAGAGTAGGATCTGCAGCTCAAATTAAAGCCATAAAACAAATAGCCGAAAAATCAAAATTGGAATTGGCTCAATTTGTCGAATTAGAAGCCTTTGCGCAATTCGTTTCTGATCTCGATAAAGCTACTCAAAATCAATTGGCAAGAGGTCAACGATTACGTGAAACAATCCCAATCAACCCCTCTCACGGTAGAAGAAAAGATAATGACTATTTATACCGGAACGAATGGTTATCTTGATTCATTAGAAATTGAACAAGTAAGAAAATTTCTCGTTGAGTTACGTACTTACGTAAAAACGAATAAACCTCAGTTTCAAGAAATAATATCTTCCACCAAGACATTCACCCCTGAAGCGGAAGCCCTTTTGAAAGAAGCTATTCAGGAACAGATGGAACGTTTTCTACTTCAAGACCAAGTATAAAAGAAAACAAGTACCGTATAAATAAATTTTATAACTTGAAAATGTTAAAATTTAATAATGAAATAATTTCATTCTTTTCATTTATTAAATAGAATATATAATTTTTAGAAAATACTAAATATAAATATATATAAATATATTAAAGAAAGTAAATAATATTTCTAGAAATATATATCAATATTAAAATGAAATGTAAATACAATTAAGATTTGTAATACATCAATTTGTCCACTATTCGTAACAAAAACTTTAGCAAATATATAATAACGAATTTGAAATTGTACCCAAGCATCGCCCATTGGTTCTATTCCCGATTCATAACTCAAAAGTTTCTCTCGCTCTTTGCTAAGAGGGGCTAAAACTCCAGAAATAAGAAATGACAAAATCAGAATAACACTTGATATTATTAGAAATACCCAGAAAATATCATATTCATAAAGTAGAAACATAAACGTACTCCTATCAATGTGGAAAATATACCGGATTAGTCGAATCGAATTGAAATGAATTGTTGTTTTAAGTAATCCTCAAAAAACAATTCATTTTTTTTTTTTTACCGAATCACCTCCTTTCGTTTGTTTGCTTCGGTACATGTCTCGTTTGAAGATTCATCCACTAGATTCCTATTTATATAATATCTATTATATCCATAATAAATATTATATATTTATATATAATTTATATATAATTTATATATTAAAGTAGGAACTTCTATTTAGGAACTTTTAGTGATTGAGTAAGGAAACAGAAGACGACTACTTTAGTTTTGTGCTGTACTAGATAAGGTATACCAAGAGAAAAGCCTATTTGACAACGTTTACAATGAAAGTTACCAAATTCTCAAACTCTAGCTTGGCCACAAATCAAATACAGTAAGTCGTTCGTAGATCCATGTGATTTACTATTGCATTCGATTTGTATTGGGTTAGGGTGGAGTTTTTAACTGGTTTCATGTCATGATTTTGAAACCCAAAATTTACTAGAATTGGGGTAGGTAGCCCAAAGAGAAGAAGTATTACAAATTTCTTGATTTTGTATGGGAAACTAGGCAAATTTGCATATGTAATTTATCTACAAAGATGAGACATTAATGATGAACCAAATCAAGTGGACAGTTACAAACAATACAAATATAAACAATAATGAGGAAAGGAAAACAATTATTTTTTTTAATTATTAAAAATATAGGGCTATACGGATTCGAACCGTAGACCTTCTCGGTAAAACAGATCAAACTTATTATTATCAAAATGATTTGATATGTTTCAAAGACCCAACATGCATTTTTTTGCATTGGGCTCTTTCATTAACTGCTATAAATAATAAGTAAGTTAGTCTACCATATTTTTTCTTGAAGGAAAGAAAAAGAGATGGTTCCATGTGCTCTGATTCATTATTTTGATTCGAATCTAGGAGCGCTACCAAAGTGTTTCAAAGAAGGGTTATCCTGATGTAGGTCTGCTTCTGACCTAGATCAACTTAAGTTAAATGGAATCTCTATCATCCTGCTTCTGCTTAAAGCATAAAATATGAAACTTCATACACCTTAAAGTTGTTCATAAGATAGGACGAAAGATAATTTTGTTTGAGGTCCTGATACTCATTAGGCCTAGCATTGAATAGACTGGGTATTCACCTTATCAATATCTCAAATCAATGGTGGATTTTTTTTTTAGTGCCTAAATGGGGCACTCGATTCGGACCGAACCTTTCTTTTGTCAAGCTATTGTTCTCTTGTTTTGTTCCCTAAAAGTAATGGAGTAAGACATCGATTTCTCAATAAGATCAACCTTTTTGATTACATGATGTACTTCTCTGAAAAACATTGGCGAGCGTGTAAACGAGGTGCTCTACCAACTAAGCTATAGCCCTTGTGCTTGTGATACATATCTTATCATGTAGATTATTTCTTGTCAAGATGAATATTCTCTTATCAATTTTGTTTATTTGTTTGATTGGTATTGCTTATCAATAATATTAGATTTATAATCTATCGATGTGATAGGGCCCATTTATTATTCTTTGTGATGATAAATGACCTACTTAACTCAGTTGTTAGAGTATTGCTTTCATACGGCAGGAGTCATTGGTTCAAATCCAATAGTAGGTAGAACTTATTAGATATCGTTGCCTCTGTGGTAT